ATCTGATGAAGAACGTCGGGAGCTTGAGCGGTGAGTCATACATTGACCTAGTTCTTTGTGGTTCTTGATCCTGATCATTTCTTCTCTTCTTCCTTCGCGTTGTAGGATGGTACATGAAGCGGCCCAACCCAAAGCGAAGAAGAGCGCAACGAATGCCGCCAAGGCCAGGCGAGAAGAGATGCTAAGAGCTGCCGCGGCCGCTGCTGAGAAGGAGAAGCACGCAGCAGCGACCAAAGATGGTGCTGCATAGGATTTTCTTATGGGCTCTCCTTTTTCTTTTTCTCTTCTCTTTCTTTCAATAATCCTTCCTGCCCTAGGCATTAGTAGTCGACGGTCTCCTTCTCGCATTTACGTACACTAATCATGCAGTACATACCTACTACCAACCTACTCAATCTATTTCAGCTAGAACATATCCTTACAGAATGGTTTCCCAGCACTTTTGGTTTCCTTATTGTGACTGGTTTACTGAGTGCACAATATATATAACATGCAAGATACAGGAAAGCCATTGGAGATAAGCGGATGTGGGTATCATTATGTACGTGTTCGATTGTTCGTAAACAATGAGAATCGAGTATAGAGTATATAGATAAGGATACTTCGCGAACGATGCTTTACATTTCTTATTCGTTTAACTTATGTTGGGAATGGCTGGGCACCCTCAGCTTCTTGCCACTTTTCCTTGTTCAAACGATGCTTGAACCTGACGAAAATTCAAAACTCAGTGTGAGAGATATCGACGAAAATAAAGAGAGATTTTTGGTTTGGGAGCTTCTCATGGAAAGCTTTGCTTACCCTGGAGAAGAATTCTGCGTCGGTAAGGATGCGATATCCCGTCAAAGCTAAACCTTTTGTGATGACCATCGTAGCTTCATGGGCTGCTTCGGTCCTCGCAGCCTTGGCGAATGCAGGTGTGTGGTTCCCGCCGTTAGGCACTGTGGGTATTGCTAGGGATACCAATTAAATAGGTGATGAGTTACCAGGTTTATGGAGGTGGATAAACGCGAATAGTTACCGAAAGCGGGATGGAGTGCGGGAAGAGCTGTGAAGGACATGATTATGAGCGTGATCCGGACTCTTACTTGTGGAAAGGGGAAAGGGAGAGAGAAAGGAACGGACCATATGATACATTGCCCTGCAGCATTAATAAATTTATTAGTTCATCTTACAGCAAGGGGAATGCGTAGAATGGATGACTAACGAAGTCGGTGGAGGCGGACGATCCACCCTGCATTGTCACAAGGCCGTAGCGACTCCCGACGATGTCGGCGAAGTCTTGTGCTGTGCGGGATCAGAAACGCAAAGTCAATTCTTGTAACAAGGTACGCAGACCTGGAGAACTCACCAAGCACTGAATTTTGATGGAGGTCGAAATAGCGTTCTCGAGCTTTATTTCGATGTTGCACCCCGTCGCTACGGCCCCTGCTCTGCGAACCTCGAATTATGAGCATATGTGCGCCTTCATGCGAGCTATTAGAGGTGCTTACCGTAGACAATTTATACGCGTTTGGCAAGTACGTCGACTTCTGCAGACGTCGGTGCTCTGGCTAACCATGCATTTTAGCATAATCTGGAATCACTATATTGCGGGTTACTTTCAGAACAGCCTTTTAAGAAGGCAGGGAGTGCTGTGCACCATTTGGAAGCCAGTTTTTGCCCTCTACCACGCCATGCACGCGATGGTCCGGCTTCATCTGCTGACGCATCATCGATATGCCAGAGTAAGCAATAAATGCGGCATCTAAGGCATTTGTTCCTTCCCTATTCTCATTGTAAGAATCAAAAAATACTCGGGGTTGCTGAAGCTCAACTGCTTACCAAGGAGCTCCCCCTGCATGGGCACTGGGTCAAAGATAGGAGGCTTCTTAGAATCCTTATGACGTAGTTGGACGAGCGACGAGCACCACTGACCTACGGCCAAAATATTCGACTTGGATACTCTGCATGGCGTTCGAGCTCCCTATGTTAAGTGAGTGCGGGAGGCCCGGCGCCGGATGACACCTGAAAAATAAAAATCTTGAACAAAACAGCCGATTCGTTTACAAAAAATGGCGTACATAAGGCATACGTCCATCTCATCGTATCCTCCTCGTTCGAGCAGGATGATCTTACCGCCGCCACTCTCCTCGGCTAAGGAATTGAATATGTATTGCGTCAGGGTTGGGAATGTCAGCAACATGAAAAATAAATATCGTTACCTGGTGTCCCAAGAAGCACGATTTTGCCAGAAACGCGGGGACTGGCTTCGAGTGCTGCTTTGAGGGCGATTGCTACCCCGACTCCGCTGACAGCGATGAGGTTATGACCGCATCCGTGCCCCATGCCTTGCAGAGCGTCCATTTCTGAATTAATGCCTATGACTCTCCCACCTGTGCCTTGGGAGTACTCTGCTCTCCAGGCCGTGTCAAGTCCTAGATAGTGTTTCGTGACTTTAAAGCCTTGCTTGCCCATAAAGTCAGTTAAAAGGTCATGGGCATATCTGGAAAGAATAGAGAGATGAATTTCTGAGAAGTAGATAGTAAAGGCAAGGTATCCAGTACCTCTCCTTAAACATGAGTTCGGGATGATCTAGAACCATTCATTTACTTCAGAATTGAATAATGAATGATATTTATGAGATAATAAATACCGTGTATCTTCAAACTGAGATCCCGAAGACTCGGGCTGTATTTATCCAATACTTGTTCAACCAAAGCAGAGATATCGTCTGCCTTGGTTGACGTGTCAGCTTTGGCAGAATACGATGGTAGCGGTTCTCGTTCGAGAGTCCACCAATCATCCTGAGCACCATAAGAAAAGTCACAGAATGGATTGAAGTAACTAATCTCCTGCTGCTCAATTTTGCGTCAGAAAAGTCGCAATTGTGACAAAACTCCTGTCCAACCTTTGGTTCACCAGATTTTAGTTCTGAAGACTTTTCATAGGGGCTCTGGGGCTGCGAGCTGTCTGCAGTTTGAGAAGGGGGCTCTACATGAGTTGCAGAATTCGCTCCTCTACGCGTCGATTTACGCGCGAAAAAATTGCCAAAGCACCCCGCCTGTATTTCAGTATTGTCCATGAGAGTGAAAGGGAGAAAGAAAGAATGCCTTGAGAGTCGCAAACCCAATGGGTACAGCAAATGATCATTTTCAACTGAATCTCAGCTGGGCAGATCTTGGTGAGATCCACATTCAGTCACCGATCGGTTGACGTCGAAGCATGGTTTTGATACCATAGCAGTCCACTCCCTATCCTTATTTTCTTACTTGATGGGCATCGTGCCAGTGAGAAATCATATTGTCACAATCCGGTGAGTTCGGTTTTCAGGTCACCTGCCCTTTTTGAACGATTTCGCGCGCACCTGACTCTGACATATCTACCCAGTGTCAGATATTCACACCGTGTGCGTCAATGTGTAATGGCAAATGAGTAATATACATACAGAAGTACAGAGTAGCTCCTGTCCGAGTACAGTCGAACAAAGATTAGAAGATATAGCATCAAACATAGAGCAAAGATAAAATAAAATTTTGGGTCTTGCATGCATCAGGGCTTCGAATCCCCTCGCAGAATTCCACCAAGCTTCTTCCAGAAACCAGCCGGGGGCGTATAGTGGTCTCGACCGCTCATACCGACGATTATGCTGCCAGAACGAGTCGAGGCTTCGCAGAAAGAGGCTTCCCGGGAGCTGTTCAGTCCTTCATCGGCATTGCCAACCATGAATATGATCTCCCGGTCGGACGACTTTACTATTTTCATTCGGGCTGATAGTGCAGGCAAAACCTGCATGGTACCCTTCCTTGACGAGAGTTGCATCACTCCGGAAAATCCTTCAGGTATAAAGAGAACGATGTCCCCTGAAATGATATGTCAGTGGTCTTGCTACCTCGCTAAATCACTCAAAGCACCGACCATGACGGGAGGAGACGTCTAGGCCCATACTAGGCGTCGACGGGGGCATGGAAAGCTTAAAATTTCCAGTAAGCAAAGAATGGACTGCAGCAGATGGCGACTCGGACATACGAGGTTGAGCCTTATCAGTCCGTGCCTGCTGGACACGGTAATCCTCGCCTTTGGAGTTTTCTGACCATCGCCAGTTGTGGCGAGATTTAAGTCAATTGTGCCATTCCGAGTACGGAAAGAGGCATGTGGCAATGGCTTGTTGCATTTCTGTTTCCCCCTTCGACTTTGGTCAAGGGCAGGAACTAGGGGGTCAATGTAGAAAGTGCCTGATCAAAGCGCAGCGTTGAGACCTGCGGTCTGCACGGACATGACAAGGGACAAGATCTCACCTTCAATGTTATGCTTACGTTCAAAGATGTGCACTTGGTCAACGCTCGGAGGTGGGACGGTCAGAGATTGGCCATTATTACGAGCGATGGATGCGTGCACTGGGGGAGGTGGGTGATGTCGTACACGACCATGGGCACTTTCCAAGTCACTGTACGCGGGTGGATTATCTACGACCTCAACACCCAACGTGATAAGTCTATGTGAACCCACGAAGCACGAACGAGTCAACTCACCTTTTCCGACATGCGAGACGAAGGAATACCGCTTGGTGTTGAGGGTTCGATGATCATTTCAATGAATGCAGGTCTTTTCAGAGGGGTAGAAGAGGGTAAATATGGGATACTCGGATGGCTATCAGCTGCGCCTTCAACCTTATGATGAGCTGCGGTCAGCTTCTGGCCGCAGGTATGTGAGCACGGCAAAATAGTCGCGAGCTTATGGTCACCAGAACAAAGTCTCAGGACACACATTAAACCCTTCCTCCAGAGCAACAGGTAAAAAGGCATCTGTACAGTGTATGCATATAGAAAAGTCTCGGAGCTGTGTCGTTTGCTGCGCGGATATCAAAGGCTGTGTTCGTTTGACGTCAAATCGGCGATCGGCATGGTTTCGGCAACGGTCAATCCTTACCGTTTCTGTCCACAACGCCGACATATGTAAGTTACACAACTATGTAAGTTACTCAACTTGCAACCACTCACAAAAACACTACAAAAAACATCGCAGGGCCTAACCGGGAATTGAACCCGGGACCTCCTCGAAGTAGTTCGCTAAGCGCCCTAACAAGGAATCATACTACTAGACCATCAGGCCGATGAAAGCAAATTTACCATCCCAACCATAGATCGCTGAATATAATTAGCCCAATCAAAATGTACACCGCTGAAACTATACTTGAGGAAGGCGTAGCGAGGAGAAAACAAGATTACTAATTATTATATGACCCTAACTATATGAATTGATCTCAGGACATCATTGAAGCAGTTTGCTAAGCGCTCTAACAAGGAATTACAAGAGACCATCAATCTGGCCATTGAAAACAGGCGCTGGCTATATGGGTGCATTTCTACCGTAAAAAGTTGATCACAGGCCTCTGCCGCGCTTGATCTATCCTGAGATTAGCGATAACAGGGGTCCGCCGAAGCGGGCTCCACATTTTGGAACCCGCTTTTACGACGAACAAGGAAGAATGCTGAGCACGTTGGTCACATCGACAAAAAGGGCCTGACCGGGAATTGAACCCAGGACCTCCTCCAATCAACGCCGGGCGCCCAAAGGAGGAATCATGCGACTAGACCACCAGGCCAATAAAGTGCGATGAATTCGGCCCATGTCCGAGTCGACAGGCGTCTCCCAGGAAATCGAAGAACTATTGAACAGCTTTCTGTGGTTTTTTTGATATTCATTTATGAAATTTTACGGTACTCGAAACTCAAGTATGACATCCTATCGTCAACGAGGCAGACGATAGTGATACTGCACACACTCTGAAGTAAGCACTTGCAATTTAACCTATTATTTAGTTTCCAGTTATTTTCAAGGCTAAATAAATTCTCCTGAACACTCGGACTCTGCAGATGTTATCTTTTTGTCTTTCGTCAATCCCGACCTCTTATAAACTGTATAAAACTAGCGGACGTGTAGGGCCAGGCAGCGCGATTCATCGGCGATCGCGCCGGCTACGCGCCACACACACACACATGGCTGTCATGTGATTTGGATAAATGCGACAAAATTCTCATGATCGGAAAGAGTCGAAATTTGGGTATGTCCCTGGCCAATCGTAAGTCGTGACGGTCAACTTCTCCAAAACCCATTCTCTCTCAAGTTATGTTGCCGAGAAACCTGCAAAGTCTTGCTGTACGTGCAGCCAACCGAAACCGGGCCCGAGTGGCACGTCAATTCGCCCACCCTCCACCGTTTCGGATAGTCACTGGCTCGCAAACCCTTACATTTCACTCGTCATCTCGGCAGCAAAATGAACTTCCGAAATCACCTTTCCAAACGTTCGTCGACGTCTTGAAGGATGAGTTGCGGAAGAATAGGGAGTTGCAGGAAAATGTAAAGCAGCTTCAGGGTGATGTGGAAAAGCTGCAGGACTCCGAAGCGATGAAAAAGGCCAGAGACGCATATGAGCGGGCACGAGTGCGTAATACTTTCTTAACGTTCCCATGCCTAGATCTGACCTCCTTACCAGCTAACCTCGAGTATTAAAGAGAACCCACGGCTACGAGCAGCTGCAGAGGAACTCAAAAAGACAGGAGTTAAGGTTGGAGATGCCGTTTCAGAGGCTCTGAAATCCATGGAAGAGAGCGAAGTCATGCGCGCCGTGAGTTATAAAATTTATAATATGGCCAACAACTAATTCTCATATCCTCTTAGATTTCTCGGGCCTCCTCTGCCGTTTCATCTGCTGTAGAAAAATCCACAGAACCAATTCGCAAGACTGCAGCGTATAAAACGCTGTCGGAAACTCTAATCGACGCTCTGGACGACAGTGGGAGTGCGAAGCATGCAGGTTTTGAGGAGAAGGAAGCTCGACGGCTTCGGAGGCAAAAACGACTAGCTAAAGCTGGTCGCGCCTCAGGACTGGGACCAAGCCGCATTGTCGCGAACCCCGAGTATGTCCTTCGCGTATTCCACTTGGTTTCGAAATTCATACGTACGCCGTTACAGAGCAGGAGAGGCATTAGTTCTCCACAAGGATTCGCCGAAGCAAGAAGCATGGAATAGGCTGAAGGAGACTAACCCCGTCCTGAAAACATTTTTCCAGATGCGCCAAGCGTATGATGAATCTGAGAATCCAGTTATCTCGTCTATGCGATCAGTAACAGAAACCATCGGCTCGTGGTTCGATGAGAATGAGACGGCTCAAGTCCTGAGGCTGATGAAGAGCATGGATCCAGAGTTCAACCGGGAAAGCTTCGAGCGAGAGTTGAGAGAGTACGTCGTTCCTGAGGTGGTGGATGCATATCTATCAGCAGACCAAGAGGCTTTGAAAGCGTGGTGCGGGGAAGCTGTAAGCGCGCTTTCTTTCCTTATTTTGACCCCCCTAAACTTCGTTCTTATTAGACCTATAATGTCCTCTGGGCTACTATGGAGCATTTCCTGCGCCAGGGTTTGATCAGTGACAGCAAAGTCCTCGACATTCGTCAGGTAGATGTAAGTACCGCGGCTTTTCGAAATGCTGAAGAAAGCCATTCTAAAAAAACTCACTTGTTCAGGTATCGGACGCAAAAATCTTGGAGAATGACGTTCCTGTTTTCCTTATTACATTCGCCACTCAGGAAATGTTGCTCTTCCGAAATGCGAAAACTGGCGAAGTTGCTGTGGGCGCGGAGAACAAGGTTGAGCAATGTACCTACGTTGCAGCGATCACACGCATTCCTGAAGAGCTGGACAACGAACTTACAGGTGGATGGAAAGTCATTGAGGTATGTCTATATTATTCACCTTGAATCAGCTGTGGCTCAACAAAATTATTTTTTAAGATGGCGCGCAGAAGTGCCCGCGCGTATCTCTAAAAGTACCACTCAATACCTATCTTTATTCTATTCCTGCATAGACCCACGATACACTGCACCCTAATTCCTGCTGTCGGATTGCATAATCACCACTCACGTTTGTTTGTCATTGAGCACTAGATATCTTATCAGTGCGTAGACCGATTGCGAACACTTCAGGCGTATAATATTCAACCATTACTCAGACATCAGATTCAATGCGAGCATCGACTCCGAGCATGCAAATGCGTTAAATCAATAACTATAAGCATCAACGAACTAACATCGCCCAAGCAAAACACAACAGATTCATTGGCAGCCAGTCTTTCGATCTTGTCATGTCCTCTAAACTCTTACTTCTCGGCGACGTCCTCCGAAGAGTTTTCCCTGTCTATGTCAGGATATCGAGACTGTCTCCGCCCTCAAGACGTTGATTAAGGAGAGCGAGAAACTAGTGCTTGACCAGATTCCCGGAGCCGACCTTGAACTCTGGGATGTTTCCATTAACCTAGATGTCCGTTTCAACGAGGAAATTAAAAATTCGATCTCAAAAAGCAGACTCCAATTATGCCTTTCGCCAGACTGTCAGAAGTCTTCAAGGACGTACATACACAGCATCTCCACATCGTCGTGACCCCACGAATTCTCTCAATCAATTTCTTGGTTCTCGCTGCCTCCCAGTCATGGTGCCGGATAACCAGATGGTCGCCAAGCTCATGACCTCCATTAAGAGGTTATGAAACCTGCATTGGACGATATTTCAATAATAAACCTCCAAGTCTGGAAGGTTTCCATCCCCGATGACTCCATTCTTGAGGAGATTACGGGAACTTTATTGTCGGCGGCATTTCTTGCTGTCTCTGAGCCTGATCCGAACCATGTGCATGTCCTCCATGGGAGCAATGACAAAATTTGTCTCTCACTATTCCAAGGAAGTACACTTGTTCTGTGAATCGAGAGGAGTCGCACCGAAACTTTTAGGATTTGAGACCATACTGGCTGATAGATATATGGTGGTCATAGCTCAGATTCACGAATCCTATGTCGATCTCTTCAATGCTCCGGGGCTCAGTGCTGCTCGCACTTCTTCGCTCCTCGCTGAAATCGGTGGCACTTTAACTGGCCTAGATCAAGCAGGTTATGTGCATGGCAATATTCGTGATATCAATATCATTGTTACAGAAGACGATGATGATGTGAAATTTATGTTGATTGATTTTGATTGGTCCGGGATACTTGGAGAGCTGCGATATTCACCTCTGGCGACCTGAGGGGGGACGCGATCATTGGGGAACCTACCACCTCCGAGCATGACATTCAAATGTTGAACCACATGTTTTCTGTGTTAACGGTAGAGTAGGGGCTAAATCTCAGCTGTGTACACTGTTGCGTGGTTCCTGAAGACCACCGAATAATGTTTTTCTGAACGAGGTACTAGATCCTACGGTACATGAAAGCCGCTTACGCCCATCGTCAAGGAATCTCCAGAGATGTCCTTAGTATCGAAGCCATGCTACTCAACAAATGCCTTTCCGGATAATGGCAGTAGTTACTTAAGCTGCAGATTTTTCAGCTATTAGGTTTCGTTCTTTTGGGCCCACGATTATGTAGTGATTATAACACATACCAACTGTAAGTAAGGGGCTTGTAGATATTTAATATAGATATACTGGAAGGGGCTTTTCTCGCCTAACGCATCATAGGAAGGTATGCATATCGTATAAACTATGCATAGATCGGAGGGGATTCAAGCTTTGGCTGTTGTCGGAAGCACATTGTTGAGCAATATACCAGCCGTTTTACATAGGCCCCGCAGACCTTCAAGCACTGTTTTTCTCGCCAGACAGTCAGGTCGAGAGCACTCTTGCTGTAGACCGGCGTTTCCGGTGGCTACGGTCGACACTGATCCTTCGTTTGCATCCTTAACCAAAACGTGCATGAGAATGTGTCAGACAGGGAACGAAACAATATCTACCTCGGCTTCCTCGTTTTCTTCTGGAGTGAAGGTAGCTGCGAGATTCTCTGCTATCTCCACTTCCATCTCGACATCGCCTGCGAGACCGTCGTCCGAGTTCTCAGGGGGGTATTGGAGCTGCTGGGAGAAGGTGCACGAGTCGACGAGGCAGTTTCCGCAGTCGTCCGTCGTGGCAGGGATTGAGGAGTGGGATAGGCAGTTGGATTGTTGAGTGACTTTGATCTGCGGACTGGGGTCTGAGGGCTGAAACGACAAAGAATAAGGAAACGAATTTATGAACCGCCAAAATGAAGATAAACGTACAGTGCAGTGATTCTCGAAGTCGTGGCATGAGC